GTCAACAAATAACAAATGCAGTAATATTAACAGCCATCTAAAAATTATGTTCTGATGCGCTTAAAGAGACAGAGTTAGGGTTAGGATTAGTCTTAGGTTAGGCTGGGTTTCTGAAGTACTGACTTCAGTTTGTTTTACGTATGCAGCTCAGCTAAGTCTGTGCTTTTATGGCTATAGTCAGATTGTCATGTATTAATTTTCAACACGATTGCCTTAAAAGAAAAGATTGATACACAAACTGACCTCATAATAAAATGATGTATAACTAAAGCGTTGGTGTAAGGCACCATGCACCTAAGGACAAATTGTATGTCTGTTGAATGTGGTACTTGGAAGCTCATTTTTTGGAGATGGTAGGTTTAGTTGGCGTGTTACAGTTAACATGTTGTTTGTATCATGAGCTACAGAGCCCACTTTTCAGAGTGAGTGGAAGCAGCACAGTCTCCGTGTTAAGTGAGTACACCAAGTTAGGAGCCTCAGGTCTTTCCATGCCTTGCAGAGCCTCATGAGCTTGTGTGACATGACCTGCCAGGCCTGCCACAGCATCACTTTTGTGGCTCGTATGACGCTGTGTCTTTGACGCATCAAAGCACCCAACTCTTTGTCACCAGTCAACATCCTCCACCTCTCTCTTATAAAGACCTAGGCCAATTTCTCCTGATTTCTACTCTGGAATTATCTGTTCCCTCTTCTGTACAGACTGTATTTTGAAACAACAAAACGCTCTGGCAGAGCTGAGTATAAAACAACAATGGAGGATGATGCAGTATTGCTCTCTCACAGGAAGTTTTGTCTTTCTTTTTCTTGTAATCTCTTCTCCTCCCACTGCGATGCTTAGAGCTCACTATTACTATTATTCTAGTACCTCTCCCTATTTTAATTGTGTAATATAGACAGTAAGCTCCACAGGGCAAGGGCCTGGTCTTTGTCCTTGTCTGTATGACGCCACGCACATCAGCAATGCTATCTAAATAATGGCTACTGATAACAAAATGCAGCTGCCAATTTTCCTAAACTTAGAATCATTTCTCTCAACTGTAACTCACTGATTAGACATTATCCCTGCTTCTCTGGAGATAAAGATGACTCTTTCTGACAGCCAGGACTAGGGTAAATGATAGCTACTTATTGTCAGGTGAATGGAGTCTCAAAATCAGGTGATTGAACAATAACAGGGGTAGAAAAAGAAGAGAAAGAACGTATTTTACTTGTGTGTTTGGGGTTTTTTTGAGTAAACTCAGATTACATTTTTGAAGTACATAAGGAACATGATCTTGTTAATGTTTCAGGCATCCAGAGATGCTATAAGGCTTATAATGCACTTCTACTACAATATAATATATAATACAATGCATCCCTTATTTCTGCATACTTCTGTGAGTTGTATTTTTTTAAAGTAGTGGAATTCCAGGCTTTGATCCACATTCTGAGATTTTATATTGAGTTTCTGCAATGTGTGTTAGGATAGGCATTTTCCTCTTTTCTTCATCCTTGGTAAAGTTGCTCTGTGGAAAAAACTCTGCACATGCATATTTGGAGCTTGCTTTAATTTCAGTCTAGAAAAGGTCTTACGTTTCGACGGATCAAAGTGGAAGTGTGCAATACCTTCTGGCACTGAATTTACTTTTTTATCAAAGGCTGGTTCCCTCTGAAAAATCTCTCTCCCGCTTCCTATGGCTGGCTGCTGTTCTCAACAGAAATGTCTGTCCTCTGCAGTACTGTAGGGGGCATCTTACACTGTAAAAGGTGAGCATTATATGATGTAGTAATTGGTTTCGTTTTGCACTGTACAGCACAGCCTTTGTTTGGGTAGCATTTTGATTTAAACAGTAATCTAGGTCTGCCGCACAAATAAATTATTCAAGGCTGAGGGGCAGAATATGGTTCTATAACAAGCCCGAGCCAAACCATCCTGATAGCGAGTTTTGACCCTTCTGGGAAAGGGTTAAGTGGGTTCTGCTGACTCACTGAGGTAGGTGGCTTATTAGTTCACTTGTGTAAAAGGGAGATAAAAATGGTTTGCTGGGGAGAGGCCATCTAGGATGCTGGCTGAGCAGTCATGAGGGAGAAGCCTTAGAAACAGCTGAACTTTATTTTCTTATTGCTTATATCCTTGTTAATAAAGCCAAACCCCCAAAGCAATAAGGGGGTGGGGATCATTTTGGACTCCATTTAGTGTATGGCCTGTGCTTGAAAGTGAGATGGGAAAGGCTCCAGCTCACAGGTATAAATTACATGAAACAGTGACATAAAGACCTTGCATGGTGAAAATATTAAAGCATTCAGTCATAAGACCAATAACCAGGAGAGACAGAAATGAAGAGGTTGAAGGCAGGCTAGAAAGTCAGGTTTTAAGATGAGAATTTAGAAGGAGATAGGGAATCGGTGAAAGGGGAGAGGTCTGCACAGATTGTTTCAGGTGACCAGAGCTGCAGAGTGAATGGTTTTTCAGCAATGACACTGGTCTGACACTAGATTAAAAGAGTAGGTAAGTACCCAAATTTATCTAGGAAGGATTTTTCAGCAAAGATGCGCTGGGACTGATATTTTTGCTCAGCCTCAGTTTGCTGCTGTAGGCAGGAGGGGTTTTTTTGGCATTGTACAGTGGAAGGTGAAAGTGCAAGGAGCATCCATACAGTCAGTTAAGAATATAAACACAGGAACATCAGAAAGGCTATATGGGGTCAGACCAAAGGTCCATCTGGCTCAATATCCTGTCTCTGACAGAGAACAACAGTGAATACCTAGGGAAGAATATAAGAGCAGTGATATAAGTGATATTTCCCCAGCATGATCTTCCAGCTTCTAATCATTTGCAACTCAAGGACCTCCTGAGCCAGATGTGATATTTTTGTATTTAATAGCCCTGGATAGATTTTCCTTCTATGGAGGTGCCTAGTCATTTTTGAGTTATAGCCATGATAGCCTTGTACCCGCTAGCCTCCGTGATCTCTTGTGGCAAGAAGTCCCACAACTTACTCTACACTGAATGCTAAGCCATCTCCTTTTTGTCTGTTCTGAACCCTCTGCCCGCTAGCCTCCTTTGATGACAAAATAATCTCTAGTTAGTATCTACATGCCACACAAGATTTTACCCACCTCTATCATTATGCCCCATCCTTAGGTCTCTGTTTTTCAGCCCAAGTTACTTATTCCTCATATGGGAGCTCCTCCATGTCTCTGATTATCCTGGCCGTTCTTCTCCGAACCCTTTCCAGTTCTGCTTTGTCACGTTTGAGATGAGGGACCAAATCTTCACACAGTATTCGGGGTGCAGGTGTGGCAAGGATTTATCCTGTGACATAATGACCTTCTTTTTTCTGTTCTCTCTTCCTTTCCTATTAACTCCTAACAGTTCACATGCTTTTTTGGCTGTTGCTGAGAACCGAGGTGACATTTTCATGGAACTATTTATTATATCCACAAAATCTTGTTGCTGGATGGCAATGGTCATCATTTTATATGTTAAGTTTTCTTATGTGTAATGCTTGACATTTATTAGCATTGAATTTCATCTGCCATCTTAATGCTCAGTGTCTCAGTCTCATTAAGTCCTTCTGCATTTTTTCACAGCTGGCTTCTCATTTCTACTACTCTGTTTCCTTAATGTCCTTTGAACAATGTAGAAACTCAGGGTATGCGGGGAGCAAAGACGTTAAGGAGGGACAAATGAGAGAGAAACTCATTTGATGTTGGTCTGAGTGAAGTAAGAAGTAAAAGTGATGAAAGCTGGAGAGCTAGGAGATAAGAAGTGTTCAAAAAGAGATCTGAAGACAATAGGCAAATTAAGAAGGGGACCTACATTGGATGGAGACAGTAAGATACGTATGTAAGCCAAAGAGGCTGATGCAAAATATTTATTTGTTTAGATGTATAAAAATCTGGGGAAAGGTTATGGGGCAACCTCTGTGGGAAGGAAGGAGATGGTGGGATTTACAGAGATCACAGGTTTGTGAGAAATGTGAAGGGGACTGTGAGAAATGGAAAGGGTGAGAGACATTAGTGGGACATAGATGATAAAATGACATCTGTGCTAGACTGGGAATTCAATGCGGCAGAAGCAAGTTTGGAAGGAAGCGGAAACGTGCCAGAAATAAGTTATTCCTAGTGTAACAGCTGCGTTCTGCATCGTAATTCTGATAGGTGTGGGGCCATGGCTCATTTCCCCCACCTAGGATTTTCAGGGCAATTTGATTTATTGCATGTGGCACTAGTTTAGACTGGATAATTTTAAAAGGAGTTTAGCACCATTTCCTTCTTTTAGAGCTCCTTGAGAAATGCTTATGCATTAGCTGTAGTGGAGAGCTAGGTGAATTATGAGACAAAAAGTTTTACTTGGGGATGGTTATGTTGCATTGCCTGCCTTTCCTTAAAGGGTTTAGCTGGAATACATTCAATATAGACATTATAACATGAAAACACAGTATCCATGACCTTCCTAAATTTATAGACAATTCAACAGAGATGCAGAAAGCATGTGATTAATATAGTCTAGGGCTTGGAAAGACACTGCGTGCTCATGTACTCCAGCAAAACTTCTTTGAGAGCTACCTAGCTATTCTCTGGAATTTCACTTGTCATTTAGAAAAATGAAAGTGGATTAAATCTCTGGCTGTTCTAATTGTGAAGAAAACTTCCAAAATTGGAACTATGTGTAACAAATAAACAGTTCTCTAGCAAGGTGGGAGCATAGCTCTAAATGGTGTGTGAATTGCCCCAGTCACCTCAGCAAGGTGCTAACTTATTTGCCCAGGAGTAATAATTTAAATGCCAATAACATTTGTTACATTGTTTTTCATGTAAAAAATGGAGAGGTTCAAAGTAGGTGTATTTAGGTTGTGTATTGCCAATACCAGCATAATCTACTTAAATGAACACCCTGTCATTTTGGCTAGCCCTAGGAAAAGAAATGTTTTTGACACAGAAGAATCCTATCCTTTTTTTCCTAGACTGCCTTTTGTTCTTTGGTATATT